TTAATCTTATTTTGATATTATAAATATTTATCATGCAGCAAATCTTAGTAAATATCCTCAATTACTTCCTTAGGATAAATTCCAGAAATAGAATTGCTGGATCAAAGGTTATATATTTTCTTAAGACTTTTTAAAAGTATATTACCTATTATATTACATTATCAATTATCTATTTCCCAAAACTTTTATCAGTTTATACTACCACTAGCAGTATATGAGAGGACTGGGGCGGGGGCAGACTGTATTTTCTTAAGATGGCTGCAACAGTATCTCCCATCCTACACAGTGTTCCAGAACTCCATCACACCCCTCTCAAAGGTGGAGCCCAAGGTTGCTCCCCTTGAACCTGTTCAGGTTTTTTTATCTGCATCCTGGGCAAGTTGTTACATCAACCTCAACCAACAGAGAATCGCAAAAGTCATGCTAGGTGGCTTCCGAGGCTAGCACATGAAAATGCCACCCTGACGGGCCCAGTCACCATGCTGTGAGGAAGTCTGAGCAGCCCATGGAGAGGCCCATGGGGAGAGGACTGGAGGCCCCTCCCACAGCCCCAGCTGAGCTTCCGGGCAACAGCCAACACCAACTTGCCAAATGAACTGCGCCCGGATACACTGCACAGAGCAGCCAGGAGCTATTTTCTACCGAGCTCTGATCACGTTACCAATTCATGAGCAAAATGAGTGTTGTTTCAAACCATTAAGTCTGGGAGTGGCTGTCACGTAGCAATAGATAACTGATACATCTCATTTCCCCTCCAGCAACACTAGGTATCATCATCATCATCATCATTTCTTTACCAATAGGTTAGCCAAAAAAATTGCATCTATCATTCAGTCTTAATAATTAGGCCCTTTATTTTCAGTAGGGATTTAGTGCTTTTACTGTTTATCGCAGAAGCTGTTAAAAACCAAAATTATAAAAAATTTAAAAATCTTAACTGGCTTTTATTTATGATTCAGTAATTGGACAGCCCTCAGAACCCAGAAGAGGTTCAAAGAACTTCAGGGCTGCAATGTACTCAGAATTTATGGACAGAAAACAGAAGTGGGATATAGAGTTTTTAACTGGATTGCCTTATCTGAATCTACTGGCCACCTACAATTGACTAAAGCTCAGCTGCTGTAACTGACACTTAGCCACTTGTTATGAGACTATACTGCTAACTAGTTTCATTTAGCATGAATGACTCCATATTGGTTTGGTCTATTGGCTACAGCATAGGAGCTTAGGCCAAATCAGTGGCCTCCTACAAATTTTATTTAACGGGCTTTAGTGTCCTTTAATCCTATTTATTTTCCTTCCTATTTTTTGCCTTCCAAAAGAAATATTTTATTACAAACATTCAAAAACATATTTAAGTGAAAGCCAGGACTAGGGCGAGGCTACTGAGGCACTCACTGTCGGGGGCTCTGCACTTGTGGGCCCCTGAGGTCAGGTGTCTCCTTAACTTTTGCATCCTGGCACCTCACTTGCCTTGCTCTAGTCCCAGCCCTGACTTAAGTCCATCCTAGTCTTGCTTTCTAAATCTAACTGCTATTCACAGTTTGGTGTGTATTCTTTTAGACTTTTTCTAGACAAACATTAGCATATATATAACAATAGTAACTTATGTTAATAGAAATATCTCCTTCTTGGACATTTTATCAGGTCAATAAATGCAGACCTAGCTCATTCTTTTTTTTTTTTTTTTTTTTTTTTTTTTTTTTTTTTTTGAGACGGAGTCTCGCTCTGTTGCCCAGGCTGGAGTGCAGTGGCACGATCTGGGCTCACTGCAACCTCTGCCTCCCAGGTTCACGCCATTCTCACAGCCCCAGCCTCCCGAGTAGCTGGGACTGGCGCCCGCCACCTAAAACGGCCCTAGTTTTTGTATTTCACGCCATTCTCCTGCTTCAGCCTCCCGAGTAGCTGGGACTACAGGCGCCCGCCACCTCGCTCGGCTAGTTTTTTGTATTTTTTTTAGTAGAGACGGGGTTTCACCGTGTTAGCCAGGATGGTCTCCATCTCCTGACCTCGTGATCCGCCCGTCTCAGCCTCCCAAAGTGCTGGGATTACAGGCTTGAGCCACCGCGCCCGGCCGACCTAGTGCATTCTTAAGATGGTATGTTGCAGAAGAGTCACAGCCCTTTGTCATACTTACGGCATGTATTTTCCCAGCTTCTAAATATGCAGCTTGATTTTCTTTTTCTTTTTTTTTTTGAGATGGAGTCTCGCTCTGTCACCCAGGTTGGAGTGCAATGGCGCCATCTCGGCTCACTGCAAGCTCTGCCTCCCGGGTTCAAGTGATTCTCTTACCTCAGCCTCCTGAGTAGTTGGGATTATAGATGTGTGTCACAATGCCTGGGTAATTTTTGTATTTTTAGTAGAGATAGGGTTTCACCATGCTGGCCAAGCTGGTCTCAAACTCCTGACCTCGTGATCTGCACGCTTCGGTCTCCCAAAGTGCTGGGATTACAGGCATGAGCCACCGCGCCTGGCCAGCCTTATTTCTTAAAAGTGACGTCAAGTAGATGGATTACTCACATTAGCTGCATTTTCCATTGTTTTCATGCTTTCAGAAACAGTGAAGTATTCAACTATATTTCCCTCTTTTTTTTTTTTTTTTTTTTTTTGCATTAGTTTACTAACCTACTGAGATGTATTTTGGTTTATGGTATGAAGGTGAGATCTTACCTGAATTTTCCCCCAAATAATCACCATTCTCAACATCATTTGCTAAGCAATTCCTCCCTCCCCAGGGCAGAACTCTGTGACCATTGGAAACTGGGATGGTTAAGAACTTGATGGGGACATTGCAGAGCAGATTCAAACTAGGTAAAAAATTTAACCCCTTCCAAATATGAGCTGCTCTTCCACGGTGGGCAGAGGCTCACAGGCAGACAGAGGTGAAAGGCATCAACCCATCGCAGCAGGGAAGGGAGGAGGTTTAATAGGCAGCACCTGAAGCCCACTTTCCCACGGAAGAATGTGCAGCCCCAGGAAAAGAGCTTTTGCTCTCTCAGTATAGAGGCGACCAAGTCTTGCCAATGCAGCAGCTGGAGCTACCAGCGCTATCAGGAGGATCTCACCCTAGCCCTAGAGTCTGTAGATGTTCCCCGAGTCCTCCTCACCTACGGTCAATGCCCCCATGGGACTGCCCCTTAACTTTGTTCTCTCACATTCGCAGAGGTCTCCTCCTCTGCCTTGTGACTTCCAGACTCTTTTCCACTGTGACCCAGGACTGGCACAAACCCCCTGGGCAGCAGTGAAACCTGGAGTGACGGGGCCAGTGAGGGTGGCCAGAGAGACTCGGCTGGCAGGTATGCAGTCCAACTGACCCTCGCCGAGGCCACTGGCTCCCACGGCCATTGGCGAGTTATGGGGAATTCTTCTGCAGGGCAGAGGCCAAGGCTGAGAGTGCGGGCCTCCTCTGCAGCAAACAGTGAACTGTGTCACTGAGACCCCAGAAACCAGGGTCCCATGGCCCGGCCCCTCTCTATGGAGAAGACTGTGCTTCTGGGGCCAGGCAGAGGGGCAGAGGCCCAGGGTGGGAGAGGAAGGGATGAGAGGGCAGCTTCTTTCCCTCTTGGGTGCGAATGACCCTCGAGGGCAGCAGAGAAAGGGAAAGCAAGGGTCAGAGACAGGCCAGGTGTGACACCCAGGAGAAGCCGGGGCTCTGTCCTGCACAACAGCATGCCTGAGGAGGGACAGGGAGTCAGATATGAAGATTAAATTGCTCTTCTTGAAGTTTGGTTTAGTTCTTAAAGCTAGGGGTGGGAATCCTATCACCCTGCCCAAGGAGCAGCCTTTCTTTTCAGAGGAGGTGGAGGGAGGGGTGAAAGGGGTGTTGAAGGGGAAGAGGAGGGATGCTGTGAAGGATACTGGGCCCACCCTGGAGCTTCCCTGGCACCTGAGGGAGAATGAGGCAGTGATGGGGCTGCAGAGGCCCTTGGGGTGCTCTGCCCAAGACTGTCAGGCTGGTGTGAGCTCGCTCACCCCTCTCACAGCTAGCCCGGGATTCTATCAGGATATTGATCTTACAGGCTGTGGTTTCCTTTGGCCAAGAATCCTTTCTCTGGAAGGCCCTGCAGGAAGAACTTCTCCTCTCCACTTTACATGGAGCTGGCAATACATGGATGGGAATCCCAGGAGAGGGAGATGAACTTAGCAGGGACCCGGAAACTAGGTCTGTAGCCCCCATTTCACAGATGAGCTGAGACAAGGTCACGCCCAACTGGTTGGCGGCAGGGCTGGGAGAATGAACCTGGTCTCCTCCCCTCCTTCAACAACCAGGCCTAAAAACAAGGACCCGAGACAGGGCACTTTGGCCTCAATGTAGGGAATGGAGTGAGAGCTCTAGAAAAGGTAGATTCTTTCAGGGTGCCCCCACTCCCTGACACCAACACACAACAGTGGTTAATGCCACTGTTGGAGGGAAGAAGGGTTGGCACCCAGCGCCATCACATAGTCTCGGGCAAGTCTGGAACAGGACATGAAACAGAATCCTATGTGTTAGGTGTAGAGATTGCAGCTCCAGGGTTGAGCAGGGTGGGCTCTGGGGTCAAGTCCTAGATCTACTTCTCACCATTTGGGAGAATAGGGCAAATGTATTTATTTTCGTGAGAGTAAAGGGGATAGGATGTTTCTTAATCTCTTTAAGCCTCAGCTTCTTCATCTTGCATTGTTGGAGGATTAAATGAGATTTAAATAAGGGCAAAGTTCAATAAATCGTAAACATCAACTCTCCAATAGCATACACATTTCAGGCATTTTAGGAGCCCCATCTCATGGGGGACATCTATACATACCACTGTGGCAGATAGGGGTGGGGAATAACTTTCCACTCAACACCTCGCTCAACTCTGGATGGTGGTACCTGCTGGGGTGGCTTGGGGATTGCCACCTGGAGGCACAGCTCCAGGGACACCCTTCACAGAATATCCTGTGGGAACGGCACCCCCCCGCAAGCACAACGGGGCCCCTTGAATTTTCGAGTATTAAGACAGGAGACGACACGACAGGAGCAGTGGGCTACCATTATTAAGCACTTATTGTTTGCCCAGCGTGGTACAACAATCTGGTAGGTGGGTAGTTTATCTCCAGTGACACATGGGGACAAGGGGATAAGTTATCTTGCTCAAAGTCACATAGCTAGCGAGCGCTGGAAGCTGGATTCAACCCCAGACGTCAGATTCCACAGTCCATTCTCTTCAAGGCTGGACTTGATCCCTACCCTGACCCAGGGCCCAGATTTGAGGGCTCCCTCTGTGCCCACCTGACTTTCCTCCAGGGTCAAGGCTGGCTGGGTCCCCGGAGTCCTATCCTCCACCCCCATACCCAGAGGACGGGCTGCATCAGGGGTCTTCCCGCCCCCACCCCATACCAAGGCTGCTGGAGAGGAGCCTGGCCCAAGGTGGGGCTGCCCCTCTTGGACCTCCAAGCATGCTGCATGGAGCAGCCCCTCAGAGCTGCAGTCCCTCTACACCTGCCCTGTGGCCCCTCCAGCCTCGATCCCCACCCTCCCACTTCCTGGCTTCCCATCCTTCAGGTCTCATAGAAGCCTCCCCAACACCCTCCCTGCTTGGTCTCTATTCTTCAGAGCCCTCATCATAACCTGTCCTTGCCTCTAGAATGGAAGCCTCACAGCAGCAGGGACCGCATCTCTGTTTCAGCTTGTTTCTAGCCCAGTGCAGCACTGTGAAAATCCTTAATAACATTTTTTAAAAGTTTTTGTTAGAATTTCTTGAATTTTTGTTTGCTGACTTGGCAAGTGCTTTCTCCTCTGCCCGTAACCCTTGCTCCTCCTTATTTCCTTGCTAACACCTACTCATCTTTCAAAGCTCTGTGCCACTATCTCCTTGAGGAAATTGTTCCTGAGCCCCCAATAGGTTAACACACCAGACAGGCGAGATTCTCTGTCCTGCCCCAGACAAGGAGCCTTTGCTATGCAGGGCTCCCCTTGGGACCCTCTCTTGCCAGGGGAGCCTCTAGAGAAGCCTTCTAGAAGGGCATTCCAGACTCAGCAGGCCCCAGCTCCCAGCCTGGCAGACTGGGTGGGGGGAGGGCCCAGCTGGCGGGCGAGGCTAGTTTGTCGATGCTGCGGAGAGCCCTGGGGAAATCAAGGTGAAAGGCAGCCGCGTTGCTGAGGAGGCCCACCCATTTATCAACCAGTGGGGCTGGGGCCGGGCGAAAAGAGGCTCGGCTGCCAGAGGCAGCTGTGAGGTGGGAGGTCCACACCACTTTGTGGGCCTGGAGAATGGGCTACACACTGTGCCGCCCGGGTTGCTGCAACAGCGTTTCCAACGTAGCCCTAATTCTAGGTGACTGAGTTTGGCTTTAGAAATAGGGTCACTGGAGCCACAGGGCTTGCTGACAGAAATCCCCTGCACTTGGCATTGGGCGAGGAGCCCTTAGGGGGTGAGGGACAGGCTTATTCAGTGGCCTTGGTCCAGTGGGCACACAGGGCACTGGCCCTGGGAGCCTCTGTCTCCCTCTTGCAGGCCAGGGTTGGGTCCTGATTGTGGGTTCCCATCTGTCTCTCAGGCCCCCAGCCAGGGCCAGCCCAGGGGAGCAGGAGGTGCAGAGCACAACCAGGAGGATGGACCCGGTGGGTGCCTGGAGCAGGAGCCCAGCAAGGCACTGCAGCTAAAGGGGTCCAGGGAAACATGTAGGGAGACTGCTGTCCCTCCCCCTCCTCAGCTGCCCCATAGCGGGAGTGGCCTTGGCATCCCACCTGCTCCACACAGCGCCCAGGCCATCTGAGCAGAGTGAAGATGTCAAAGAGAAAACCTCAAATCGGATTGAGGCTCCTGCTCCCCCTTAATGAGGTTCATTATCTGCGGCTCTGATCCTTGTAAAACCCAGTAGGCCGGATTAGGGGCAGGCTCTCTAATCCTGGCTGACTCCTCCCCACCGAGTGGCCAGCCCGGCAGCTCTGACAAACAAGCCCTTCCTTCCTAGAGGAGCTGGAAGTAGGCAGGTGCAGACAGGCTCCTCCCTCGCCGGCCCAGGGCGCTGAGGCAGGAGCTCTCAGGGAGGATTGGGGCAGGGGGTGGCAAGGCTGCACATCCAGAAGCCTGTCCCCGTGCAGGAGGAGGCCGTGGAGTTTGGGTACGGACAGCTCTATCGGCAGTCTGTGGCCAGGAGCCGTGTGTGCTGAGGGACATTGAGTCTGGCTGCATTCCAGGTGGGGTTGGTCTCCATGCACTCTGTCCAGACCTGGACACTAGGTCTCCAAGCAGCAAGTTAAAGAACACACCAATGCTTGCCTTAACAAAAATAATTTATTCCACACGCCGCCCAAGCAGGGGGTAGCGTGGGAATCAAGCATGTGTAAGGCACTGCCCCCTCCCTCAGACCCTTCTAACTTCTGCATGCTGGAAGGTGAAACCTGGAAAGAGAAGGCACTCCCCTCCTTAGCTTCTACCCAGCACCCTCCAAAGATGAACATTTATCTTAGAGACCAAAATAAAAAAGGACAAAAGACCAGGCTCAGAGAGGGCAGAGCTCAACGGGGAGAAGCGAAAGCCCCCATCTTCTCCTGCAGCTAAGCCAGGGCCAAGGCACTAGAGACCCACATCCTTCCCATGCCACCAACTCATCAGGTCCCGCCAAGCAAGCCACTCACCCTACAACCCAGCAACCATGGCTTGCCTCACCTGGGAGACCAGCACGACTTCCAGAAGCTTCTAAACCCCACCCTGAAGCCAAACCCCACCCAGGAGGTCTGAGGAACTGGAGGCTGGCCAGGCATAGAGGGCTCGGGGTGGTCCTTCCTCCCAGGGTGCAAAGGCTTCTTCATTGTCCGGAAGGGAGCAGGGTGGGCGGAGCCCAGCAGCTAGTGAGGAGTTCCACTCCAGCCCACCCAGCTCAGGGCACCCTCCTCTGGCTTCACTTGCCCCAATTTAGGGCCAAGACCAAGCAGGAGAGACTGAGACTCCAGTGAGAATGAGGCAGGACTTCAAATAAGCTGAAAAACAGGAATGTGGTGCTGAGAGGCCAGGGACTGAGCTGCCCTTTGCCCGCTGCCCGGGGCTGCCCTCCCTGTGCAGCAGGGAACCTGGACCCTGCTCCTGTCTTTTGTGTCAAAGGAGCTCTCTGTCCTAGCAGCCCCAAGAAGCTTCACTGGAGCAACTGGTTTTCCTGAATTTCCCACACTTCTAGGCCAGACAAGGAGCAAGGGGTGGGAGGGGAAGGAACGGGGTCAGGGGGCTCAAGGAGCCTAACAGATGGCAGCTCCCTCTCCCGCCTCCTCCCCAGGTGGTTCAGGCTGCAGGGTGGCCAGCATGACCCTTCAGGGCCCTTATCTTGGCCCGGAAGTAGGTGTACATGGCCAACAGGCCCATGAAGGACAGGGAGTAGAGCCCCACACAGAGGCTGATGTCCAGGTGGGAGAAGCCCCCTCCCAGCACCTGCAGCCACTGGCCTCGGCCCCGCCCAGCTTGGGCCTCCAGCTGGCCCTCAGGGAGGTCAACCAGCTGCTTGGAGCTGCGGCCCACGCGCCTGACCTCCGGAGGGCCCCAGAGGCGGTTCTTCTCAGCCAGGGACTCGGCCAGCAATGCAGCCCCTGTGTCTCGCTTGCTCAAGTGCCACTGCCCACGTGGCTGCTCCCGCTCATTCCTCTGAAGCTCTGCCATGTGCTCAGGAGGCTCCTGGCCTGGTGCAGCTCCGAGGCCAGGGCGCAGCTTCGGGGGGCGACTTGCCTCAGGTCTCTCAGCTGGCACATCTGGGGTGGTGTTTGCAGGGGGCTTCATCATCTCAGGCTTCCCAGGGTCCAGAGTTGAATTCCGGCCTTCCAGCTCCAGGGCTCCCATTGCCAGCTCTGGGGCAGCTGCCACATTCTGTGCATCTCTCCGGGCAGCCGACCCAGCTGCAGGGAAGTCCAGGATGATGTTGCTTGGGGAGAAGTGGGCCTTGAGGAAGTTAAGGGTGGCTTCCACGTCCCACACGGGCACATCCAGGCGTTCATTGTGGCAGGCAGAACAAAGTTCACGGGGCGGCCACTGCACCTTGGGGAACTGGGGGTCCTCGCTGGGGGCACCTACAGAGGGAAGCATATATAGGCTGGCGGTGACATCAGTCCCACCCAAAAGCCCAGACCACACTCCTCCACTCAGAATGCCAGCTTCCTTATCTGCAGAAAGGGCTTGCCACTGCCCTTCCAGACGATGGGAAATGAGGAAATACAGATTACAAACACTAGCTCACAGTGGGAGCTCAACAGATGGCAGCCTGGAGGAGGAGGCGGATCCACCTACCCCTCAGCCCTGGCCCTCCGTTGTTTTCCAGGGAAGCGCAAAGAGCGACATCTCAGTCACTTCCCAGTGTTGGCCAGACCCACTGTCCTGCTTTGTGGACTTTACAACCAGCTTGTACCCCAGAACCAGACATGGAAAAGGGCAAGAATACTCATTTTGATCTGTTTTGCAGTCTTTGGTTGGTCGGCTTGTGTTTGTCTTTTTTTTGCCTTTTTCCTACATTTTCCAAATTACAAACTGTGCAAATAGGTTACTTTGTCAATTCAAGGGAAAATGTGTTTTAGAGCAAGAGTCAGCTGCTTATGGCAGTCCTTGCCTTTACCCAGCAGCAGCCCTCTGGGGTAAGGGTGGGCTCCAAGGGGTAGTTTGGGGGAGACCTGAGGGGTACTTGGAAGAGTCAGGATGCTGCTGGGGCTACAGGCTGTTGGTACCCCAGGTGGGGCCAGCCCTCTAGGCAGCCTCTGGATGAGTCCCAGAGGGTGAGCCATGGCCACCAGCCCCTCACACAGTGTTGCCCAGGGAATGCATCAGCCCATCCCTTCTATAGAAGCACCTCTCCTAAAGGTTTTGATAGGGGGACAAGTTGTTGACTACAAGGAAGCAGGAGCAGCAGCAGCAAGTGGCAAGCAAGTCAGAATGGTTACTCTGGGGAGGGGCAACAAGCAGAGTGGAAGGTCCGGTCATGAGTCATAGTGATCAGGCCTTGCGGAGGGGGCTCTCAGCTTGTGCCTGGCAATTTTGAGTTTCTTCTGAAAGGACCCCACCAGAGAGGGGAGGGAACCACTCTGCTTCTGGCCCCTCAGGGAGAGGGCCTGGCTCCTGGCCCTCCAGCAGCAGCTGGGAGCCTGATGAGGTCAAGGGGCTGAAGGGTCAAATGGAGCATTTGGTGGCAGGGGTGGGGCGGGGCAGGGGGAAGGAGAAGACAGGCACGTGTCTTCCTTTCAAAGTTCGATAGGAGGCCCCAGGAGACCACGACCAAGTGCCGGCGCCTGCACCACCACCTGCTCCATTCAGCTCCTTTAACCTCGGCTCCGCCCCGGTCTCCCGCCCCTGAGAGGCTGTCACAGCCACGTGCACCACTCTCTCCCGACACACAGGCTGCCTCCTGTCCACAGATGGCTCCCTCCCCACCCAGCTCCCTGGAGTTTAATGCGTTTGCCTGTTAGAGCCATCAGACTCGTGCGCATAAGGAAAAGGAAGCACCGTAATGAGGGAACGCAGAGGGCAAGGCTCCCTCCTGGGAGCCGGTACCTGGTATTTCCAGGAAGGACCTGGTCTCCTCCAGCCCCTTCTCTCATCAGACCCTTCCCAGGGTGAGAGAACCAGAGCTCCCTCCACCCTAGCAGTTTGAGTAAGGGGCCAACAGCCAGAAGGCAGAGCAGGCGAGGCGGGAGAGGGACCCCAGCAGGCTAGAGAGCGGCCCTAGATCAGGGAAAGTGAGCAACGGCATGGGAAGACCAGGGTCTTACAGTGTTAAAGCCTTGGTTTCCTCATCTCGAAAATGGGGCTGATGATACTGGCATTGGTTAACAGGGCTGGGCTGTGACTGAGGGGACAATGAGTGTCCCTTCCCCAACTTTTGGCCTAAGACTCCAAAGTATCCTCACCCTGTCGTCTCCCACAGGTGACTCCAGCCTTAGGGATGGCCCTCCCTTACCTGCAAGGCGAGCGTTGACCCTGTTGTGGCTAGACCAGAGCCAGAGGACAGCAGCGTTGGGACTCCCCACCCGGTGCATGGAGGCAGCAGCCATCTGCTCAAAGTGGCCAGCGCAGTCTCGGCAGCCAAAGAAGTAGTGCACGTAGCCTCGGATGGCTGGGAGGACCTCCTGGGCCTTGGCTACAGGGGAGAGGAGACATCATGCACCAGCCCTTCAGGCTGCCAGTCCCACAGCCGTTGCCTCCCCAAGCCACCCTGCTGTCCCCTACCCTGCCGTGGCCACCCCTGCACAGGTGCCACACACCCCAGCCTATGCCAGCAGAGGCCCAGTGTCCCCTTGTCTACTTCTCTACCTGCCAGGGTCACTTTACAGGAGACCCCATCCCCCTTAAGCTCCTAAACCTGGATCCCCTTCCCTGCCACTCACCTGGGCGCTTGTCACTCACACCCAGGATAAAGTCCACACTCTTTGGTAGGACACTCGGGCTCTTTGTGACACTGGTGGGAGAGGCCAGCAGGGGCCACAAGGCCACTGCCCTAGCCCCAGGCCCCTCCTCCCCGCCCACTCATGCTGCCTGTATGACTTGCTTCCACCATGCCTCACCTCCCTCGGGCCTGGACCTGGCCTGCGCATGCCCTAATCTGTCTCCGTCTCTCCTCGCTCTCCCCTTCCACTCCCCCCACCCCGCCCACCCACTGGGTCCTCTGGACTGGCATGAGCAAAGGCCTGTTGACCAGCCCCACTTTCTTGCTCTAACTGAAACCAGGCTCCCCGCTGAAGACACCACTCCTACTCAAACACGCCCCTCCTAAGTCCTTCACCCTCAGGCTCCAGGGCTGCTGGTGCCTGCCTCCAAGCTCACTCCTTCCTACCGCAAACCTCCCAGGCCTTTAGAAGCCAATCTCCTGCTTTTACCCCTTCATGCAGCAGGACACTGACACCCTTACTCTTTTGTCACTCCTGGCAAGGTGAGACCCGCAGCAGTCCATGCCTGCCTCTCTCTCTCTCTCCTCTGCCTTCTCAGCTTGGTCTTCCGCACCCAGCACAGGTGCCCACCTCCCCACCACAAGGCCTCACTACACGGCCCTGGTGGTCTCAGCCTCTGTCTCCTCTGCTGCTTGGGCTGCCCTACTCCTCACCTCCTGCAGGATTTCACTCCCGTTAATGTTTTCTTTCTTTACTGTGTCATCCATTTCTCCCCTGATAAGGGATCATTCCAACTGGGGAAAAGGATGATCATAAAGAAGTTCCCTCTAACCCAGTCACACCCCAGTTCCTGCTCACTATCTCCAGAATTTTGCCTCCTGGTCTCTCTTCAGCCAAATCCAACCAGGCCATGACCTCCACTACGCCACTGACACAGCCCTTGCTAGAGATGTCCTCATCTTGCGCCACCTCCAGCAGCCCTGGCCCCAATGACTACACCTCTGTTTGAAACACTGGACTCTGGGCCCCCCTGAAATCACCATGGCCTCTCCCTTTCAGCCTCCTTTGCTGGCGGTTTGATGCTCAGGGCTCAGTCCTCAGCACTCTTCTCTACCTCCCTATCAGGGAGCTCATCCAGTCCCATGGCTTGAGCTCTGATGCTACTAATGACTAAAAGCTGATCTCTCTACCCCAGACCTCTCTCTGGAACTCCAGACTCAGCTGTGCACACCTCCACTGGGAGGTCTACTGACACAAAGTGGGCCATTGATTCCACCCTCCCACCCCGAGCCCCTGACTCCTCAGCTGACAGGACCGTCATCCACCAGAGGCTCAGGCCCCACAACCCGGGAGTCCACCTGAGTCCTGCTTCCCACATACCCTTCCTCCAATCTATCAGTAAGTCCCTCAGCTCTGCCTTTAACATATCCCCAAATCTGACCACTTCCTCCAGGGACACACTGACAACCCCAGTCCAGGCCCCACCACCACTGCTGGGCGAGCTCCGCAGCTCCCTCCTCGGCCGCCCTGCCTCCCCCTGCCCCACAGGAGCCCATCCTCCACCTTTCTAAAGTGTCAACCATCTGTCACTTCTGTTAGACTCTCCAGTGGCTTCTCAAAATGCCAACACCAACCTCCAAACCCTGCCCTCACCAAGGCCTCTGAGCCCTTGAGTGCTCACCTCCACCCCCGGCCTCTCTCTGCAGCCTTGCCTCCCTCCCTCTGGTCACAGCAGCCTTCTTTCGGTGCTGCCCACACACCAGGCTTGTCCTCTGCACCTGCTGGTCCCTGGCCTGTGCTATGGGCCCAATTATGTCCCCCCAAATTCCTATGTTGAAGCCCTAATCCCCAGCCTCTCAGAATGTGGCTGTATTTGGAGACAGGGTCTTTAAAGAGGTAATGAAGGTAAAATGAGGTCATTTGGGTGGGTCCTAATCCAATAGGACTGGTGTCCTTGCAGGAAGAGGAATTTGGACATGGATTGGGAGAGGGACAACTGCACAGAGACACAGGGAGAAGATGACCACCGCGCAGCCAAGGAGAGAGGCTCGAAGAAACCAGCCCCGAGACCTCCACCTCGCACTTCAGTCTCCAGAACTGAGACAACAAACGTCTACTGTCTGAGCCCTAGCCTGACATTCGTCAGCACAGTCCAAGGACACCAATACAGCCTGGGAGGCTCTCTTCCCAGATGTCCCACACTGCCTCCTCCTCTCTACCTGGGTCCCAGCACCAGGCCCTCCACAGGGAAGCTGTTCCCAGACCCCTCTCCAGACAGCACCCACTCCGGCGCTGCTGTGCTTTGTCTTCCTCAGCGTTTGTCATCATTGAAACCATCCCTCTGTGTCTGTCTCCTGCCACTCAGATACTGGCCCTGGGGGGACAGGGACCTGTCCCATATGCTGCTGTGTCCCTGGCTCCTGCAGTGCCACACGGCATGGTGAAGAGGCTCCATACACACTGGCTTCCCACACCACTGCCCGGCAGTTCCTCTGATTCATGGGGCTCTGCACAGGCTGCTCCCTCTGCTGGGATGCTCCTCTCCTGGCAGAATCCCTACTCACCCATCACCCCTCAACTCATCCCGTGAGGCCTGGGGCCCCTTCCCAGTGGCGTCAAGCCCACCCTCTCTTCACCCCCACATCCTTCTCTCTGCCATGGCCCCAGCCCTGGTGCACTGCAGGCCTCTCTGTCCCCGAGCCTCACACTAGCGGTCCACCAAGAGCAGGCACTGTCACCCTTTTCACCCATGTATCTATCCTCCAAGCCAAGTCACAGCCTGATAGAAACCTGATTCCTGAATCAGTGTGGATGTGTGGATTGAATTGGATGCGCACCCTTTCAGTCTTCAAAAGCAGGGTGGGGCAGCGTGGCCAGAGAGTATGGTGGTGCAGTTTGTGGACAATACGAGGCAGTGGGGGAAATGTGTTTCCCCAGCTTCCCCCACGAAATTGTTTTCCAGTGGGAAGCGCAATAAAATTGCTCAAAGTGCCTGCTATGTGTCAGCTATGTAAACTGTGAAACACACATTTCTTTCTTTGTTAAGAGTATAAAAAAACAGAATCACAAATTTTTCATGAAGACTTAAAGCAAAGCAAACTATAAGCCCGGAGAAAGCCAGAGAGAGGCCTCAGCCCCAGAGCTCCCGGGGCCGAGGACAGGACTGGGTGAATTCCCAAAGTCTGTTCCCTCCCGAGATCGGTGCTATTCTGGCCATGTGGGGCTACCTGCAGATACAGCAATCCTGCCGGAGCCCCAAAGCTGACTCTCACCACCCTCTGGCAGTTGGGAGCCAGTGGGGAAATTCAAGGGAGATGCCCTGCTGCCTCTCCCCTTGGAGGGTCGAACACAGCAGGGTCGGAGGCACAGTGGGGTGAACAGGCCCTGGACGTACCTGCTTCCTGTGAGTGATCTACATTTTGCCGAGCTGCCTGCACAGTCAAGAAGTGGAAGAGGACCCACAGGGAGCAGGGAAAGCCCCGGAAATGTGGCTCACTCCCCTGGCAGCCAATCCAGTTCACCTTCTTGGCGAGAACAGCACCCTAAGGGACACACAAGTGTGAGTGCACATATGGAGAATGAAAAGGATGCGAGAGGCAGAGAGAGAAGCTTCTAGGAGACAGAGCCCTAAGACAAATGAGGTCCCTCAGTCTATCACCTCGAAGGTGGCATTTCCCTTTCACCAGCTCCACCCACTGAAGCAGCAGCAGACCTAAAAAGCTGTGACCCAGATCAAGTTGCATCCCGTTCTAGCCTCAACTTCCCCAGCTGTAAAACAAGGGGGTTATTTCTGAGGTCTCTTCGAGATTTGACACCCTACAAGTCTGTAAGGATTTACACCTTTGCTGGCTGCAGTGACCCACTTTTGCAAACAGCAGCATGAGCAGGAGCCCAGAAGGTGCCCTGGAGAGGGCCAGGGAGGCCATGCTGAGCAGCACCACACGCTAAGAGGCAGCACAGGTGTCTCACCAAGTTTTCATCCCAGCCCAAACACTTACTGGCTGCATGATCCCAGACAAGTTGCTTAACCTCTTCAAAGTACTGTTTCTTCATCTGCTAAATGGGGAGAATATCTACCTTCCACTAACGTTATGAGGATTAAATGAGATGTGTGCATAGACAGCTCAATCAATAGTCATTTATTAATTATTAATGGAAGGACCCAACCAAGACCACTGACTCCCTGGTGCAAACTGGCGAAGGAGGTTGGAGATAACAGGGTTACCCCCTTGCACTCTCATAAATATGAAGGATGGAGACATCTTTATTTGCTTCCCATACTCACCTCTTTCCTGTCATCCAGGGCAGTTTTAAAGAAACTGTAGGGAATTTTATTTCTCTTCTGCCTCTTGAGCCATTCATTCACAGAGTGCAGGAAGTTCTGGACTAAGGGCTGGCCAGGGAAATACTGTGGGGAGGAACAAGCAGAAGCTGGAGAGTGAAAAGCAATTCCCCAAGTTCCCCGTCCTGCAGATGGTAGGAAGCTATGCAGAAGCAGGCTGGAGGGGCAGGGACTGGGGGAGATTGTGGAAAGTTCCAAAACCACCAGGAAAACATTCTAACTAAGACACAAATGTGACTTCTGTACTACCTTTGCTCTGGGACACCTGGTAAGGCTAGAAGATGGGGAAGGGAAGGTGCTCACTCTAAGTGGGGTGGGGTCCTGGAAGTCTCCCTCTCTCACACCGCAGGCTCCTGTGCAGCATCCCCCAACCATGTGCCACCACTGGGAGAAAGGCAGGAGTACTTGTGCCCCTTGCCAGGGCTGCTGGGAGCCCTGGGCCACACAGTCCTGTCTTTGGGTGGTCCTCGGATACAGCTGACTTGCCAACTGACTGGCCAGCTGGGCTAGGTGGGCACGAGACCTTTCATTTGGATTCCATGGGCTGCCAGTGAGGACCAGCTAGGCCAGGGGCTCACAGCCAAGATCCAGATCTTGATGGTAACTCCCAGTGGTCTCTGAGGAGCATGAAAAGCTACTCTGACAATAAGTCAACTCAAATCTGATTAGTATCAGCACTTTAAAACCACAAGGACTCCCGGGAGGAGGACGTATGTGTGTATGTGTGTGTGTGTGTCTGCATGCGCATGCACAGCACAAGGGGAGGAGGGCAGGAAAAAGAGGGGCACAGTAGCGAGCTGGTCAGATAAAACCACAAGGCTGGCTGAGGGGATGAGGACCCTGAGAAACTTGCAGCGAAGACAAACATTTGAGAGGAGAAGGGTATATGAGATATGAATGGTAACTAAACAGGAAAACCTGCTAACAGAGCCATTCCTCTGAGAAAGCCATTAAATAGTCCTATCACACGTTGGGCTGGACACCTTCCCCCAGAGTGAGAAGTGGCCGGAAAAGACCATGCTTTGACACGTGCCCTCCTGGTGAGCCCACACGGGCCTCTGGGACTCACACACAAATTTATAGCTTGAAGTCAGCACTTCTCACTGACCTTCACCATCATCCCGACTTGGAAACTTCCCATTCTAAGGCGACAATGCCAGAAGGAAGGATGAATTAAGGAGCTCTGGACAACTGGGAGCACGGAAACTCTGGCGCCCACACGCCACCCAGTGGCCGCTCCCGCCAGCTGCTCACAGGAGGGAGCACAGGCTGGGACAGGCAGGGTGGGAGGGCACCGCCAGGACATGCAGAGGGCCTCCTGACTGACCGGGCACCTGCAGGGCTGGCAGCTCGCCAGGGGGAGCCAGCAGAGTGTGCGCTCGCATCCTTAGGCGTTTGGGCCTGTGAACACCGGGCACTCGGTGGTAATGGGCATGGGCTGGATGCGAGTGGGTGTGGCTCCCTGCCCAGCCCCTCACCAGCTGGAGGACCTTGGCAAGGTGCTTTAGCTCTCTGGGGCTTTGTTTCACCTTCTATGAAACGGAGATCATACTAGAAGCCATGCTGTGGAGTCTGCTCTGAGAAACAGAATGAGGAGCTAATATACAAAGAACACTGCAGGCACCGGCAGGGCTGAAGAAATGGTAGCTGCTAGGATACTACTATTCAGGAAGAAGCTACCCAAGCAAGGCAAGGACCAGAATACTCCGCAGACCCCAGGGGATGTGCGGGCAAAACCCAAACAGAGGGTCTCCAGGCCCGTGCCCCAGGTGCCTCTACTGCTACTGCTGGGCATCCCCGGCTTCCCTCTGTCCTACACCCCACTGCCAGCCCTGCCCTCTCTGAGGGCCCTAGCTCTGGCAGGCCAGGCATCTTCATTTCAAGCTCATTCCCAGCCCTTGCTGAAGGCGGAGACTCAGCAAGCACAGAGAGGGTGATGCTTACGCCTCTACCCAGCTCAGGGACCTGTATCTCATTCTTTCCCCCCATACTGGCTGCAAACAGCCCCACTGGGGACAAAGAAAGTGGCAAGTTTGAGCACAGCTGAGAGATGTGAGCGGTACACAAGCCGATCTTCCTGGGGGTACTGGATAGGGTGGTGGGGTGTCTGAGGCATGCCGGGAAAGCATGCTGGGGGCTCTCCCTCATGGTCAGGAGGAGGGACCGTACATGGGACCGTTCTGGACTTTTCCCCTCTGAGTCTTTAGGTTGACAACCCCAGGTCTCTGCACTGTGAAGACCAAACAGCTCTCAGCCTTGGAGGAAAGGTCTTTATTATGGCAATGGACTGAAGAACAAGAGCTCGTTCTGCATGGGACTTCTGTGAGGGGCAAATGACTGTCCTACCTTAGGCTGAAACGTCCCTGTCAGGCCCTCTGTGTCACCGTGCATGCATGCGACCAAGCCAGGGGGTCAGGACAAGGAGGTGGGAAGAAGGGATCAGGCTGGCAGAAAGTTCCCAAGGAGAGGCACAAATCACCCCGAGGGCAGCCCCAGCTTCCTACAGACCCGCACTGAGGAGGGCGGGCTCAGATCTGGGCCCCAGGGCCAAGGGAGGCTGAGCCCACGGCCAAACCCGAAGCGCCCAGAGCCACATCTGACTCAGCAGTACTGAGCAGCAGAGTCCCGGGTTTCCAGCAAGGACGCACTGGCCAGGATCTGGAACCAAAGGAAAGGGGGCAGAGAGAGAGTGGCAGCCACCTCTCACCTTCAGAGAGGGAGGAGCACAGGCTCAAGGCCTGACCAGAACACCTCCGGGCTGGCAGAATGAAGGCATGGCACTTGAGCTCCCTGGGCCTCTTAAATCGGGGTGGACAAAATAAACCACCCACCTCACAAAGTAGTTAAGAGGATTAAATCCTAGACAAACATCAGGTCCTCAATAAATAGGAGTTACCCTTCGTGGAGTAGCCACCTTCCCGGGGAAACTATAAAGGAATAAGGCAGGCATGGCCAGGGCCAGAGATCGGGTCAGACTGGGAGGAAAGCAAGGAGTATCAGAAGAGCATCCTCTCCTTCGCTAGGGTGTCCTCAGGGTCCTGCTTTTCCACTGATCACGGCAAGGGGTGGGAAGCCACACTGGGGCTCTGACTGAGGACTCAGGCAGGCAGAGCCACAGTTGCTGAATCAGCTGGAAATATCCCCAGGTGGGAAGCATGGGCCCTGTGTCCCACCCACACTGCTGCATGCGGCAGGGTTGTCCTTGGCAGTGTGCGACTGGTGTGGGGTATGGCTGAGGCTGGAGGGTAGCACCTATGGTGGACAGGGAGAGCTGTGGGTCCAGGTGTCCAGCTAGACCATGGGCTTCTGGAGGGAGGGGCTAACGGGGTGCCCAGCTTACAGGAATGCACACTGACCATCTGTGGAATTGCACAGACAAGGGAGGCCACGGCCCTACTCACCTTGGCCAGCACTGCCACAAACTTTTTCAGGGCCACCAGGCGCTGCCCTTCCAGGACCGGGAACCTGCCCACTTCTATCCGCAGGATGTAGTGCAGTGCAGATTCCAGGTCAGCCATGTAGATCTTGGAGCTGAGGACCCAGAGGGAGGTAGAGAAAGAAAGGGGTATTAACCATGGTGCAGGGGCTGCAAGGAGCATCCAGGGCTAAAGGGAGAGAAGAGGAGGGGCACTGCTGATGGTCACAGTCTTATAAGTTACCACTGGTTTCTGCCAGAAATGTGCTGTGTGACCTTGGGTAAATAACCTAATTTTTCTGAGCCTCAATTCCTCATCTGTAAGATATGAACAATAACACATTGCTCACAGGTAAGTTGCTGAGAGGATCAAATACAAACACAAATGTAAACAACTCTCCGCAGCTCCTGGCAGGGAGTAGGAGTTTTCTCTCTACAAGCCCACAGCCAGCGCCCCAGCAACTCACTCATCAGGACAGCTGAGCCAAGCCCACTAGACACAGTCAGACCAGCAGGTTCAAACACACGACATGGTCTGGAAAAACTGGGCCCTCTCTGAAAGACCAGGGTTTAGCTGCCCACCAAGGCTGGGAAATGGGGGCTGGGGGCAGCAGGGAAAGCAGGGCCTGTGTTTCTTTCAGGGCTGATGTACTCACAGCTGCCAGACCTCATGTCTCAGATGGGCCCATCTCACGCCTCTCCGCAGCCCTCAGGGAAGGGACAGAGGCTCCATGCTGGCTGCTCCGCCCCAGGCCCATCATGCTGGGGTCCAGGCTCAGGGTTCAGATGGCAGGGGCCAGGAAAGTTGGCTGCCTCCTCCCCAGTCTCTTGAGACCTGGGTTCTGGCCTCAGGTTGACCATGAGCTAGTTTTGTGAGCTTGGGCAACTCAGTTGACTTTCCTGGGCCTCAGTCACCTCGCTGTAAAACACATGACTCGCTCCTGCCCCTGCTACCTCCTGAGGTTGGAAAGAGCCAATAAGGTCAACTCACAGGGTACGCACTGTGGCTGCCTATGCTCTCCCTCAGGGCAAGGTCTCCTCTGTGCTCCACTTTGGTGTCCTTGGGCCTCAGTTTACCTCTCCATTCATGTATCCTGCCTCCAGAAGTGGCCCCATGACTGAATGAGGTAACACATGGAAGGTGCCCAGCACACAGCCTGCCACATACACCAGCCCAAGCTATTACAAGTATGTCAATGGTTTGCATAATTGTAATGATTGAATGATTACAATGATCATTCATAACGACGGAATGATCGTAATGATCACACCACCTCTCACTCTCTCCTTCTCCCTTGATCTACTAAAAGTCTCTCCATTTGGCACTTTCCACGCTTAAAGTCCCTCATGCTAAGATGCAAAGTCCTTCTTGCCATCACCTTTCCCCCACTGTCTCGTGCATCCCCTTGTGAGGGGCACCGTCCTGACCAGCTCTGAGAAACCTGGCCAGATGTTTCCACCTGGTATGCAGCTGGTACCAGTGCAGAAGGTCTACAGCTCTGTCTCACTGCCCAACCCCAACAGAAGAGCCAAGAAGCCTCAGAGAGAAGAGGGGCGCTCTCATGCTTACGACTGTGGACACACACAGGAGACCTGAAAAGGCAGTGAGCTCACCGACACCACAGGCATTCAAGTGAGGTTGGGTGCCTGCCTAGAAGGGATATGCCGTAGGGTCTGCACAAGCAGGGACTGCATCTGCCTGTACATATCTGCATCCACAGTGCCTAGCACACAGGGAGTACTCAAAAATATTTACTGCAGAAATAACTGCTCGGATGGGAAGCTGGTCTGGAGGCCTCAGAGTGTCCTTCCATGCAGATTCCCTGTCTGTGAGTAGAGTTAAGCTGAAGGAGCATGGGCATGGAAGGTGTTCATTCCCTCGTGAAGGATGGCTGGCAGCGCCAGCCAGCATTCATCACAGTCAGCCCCAGTCCCGCAACAGACACCAGTGGGACCGCAGCTAAATGCCGCTCCCACACATCGAAGGCCCCTGAGCAGGGCCAGCCCCCAGGGTGGGGGACAGCCTGGCTCACAATGTACACACTAAGCGTATGACAAGGAAGAAGAATGAGCAAGAGGGTGTGGGTGTGAAGGTGTGGTGGTCTGTGACAGAGGAGGGAGAAGATGTGAGGAGAACCAGGCGTGGCCTTACCGATCGGCAAATTTCCAAACAGTGGGAGCTATCTTGTTAGCAGTGGTTGGTGCAACTGTGGTCTGGGCAGCCTCCCTGGTGAGTCCAGAGAGCCTCTGCAGGTAAGCGGTATAAAAGGACCTGGACTCCATGAGCCTGTGAGGGCAAAGAACCAGGGAGGAGAGGCAGTGAGTGCAGAGAACAAGATTAGAGCTAATCAAGGTCAGAAGAGGAAGCAGGGTGGCTCATCAGACAGAAAGTTTATTAAATCTATGAACTAGATTCCATCTTGTCCTCCGTGAGGCCAGAAGATGGCACCCAGGCCTCGCTTTAACCTTTCTAATCACTGCACATGCTCTGGAAAGCCTCTTTGACACCAGTCTGATGTCAAACCTCACCCGGTAAGGCAATTGGGCCTGAGAATTCCCCCAGTGGCCCTCTGGCTCCAGGCAGGGCATGGAAAGGCACAGGACAGCCTGGTGCCCACGGACAGGAACAGCGGGGTGTGACTCCCTTCCCCAAGGACCCCGAGGTTCAAAATGGCAGCTGCCCTTTCATAAGCCTGCCCTGTGGTACTATGAGTGACATTACCCCCTAACAAGTCCAGGGAGTTTGATACGCGATTTTTAAAAAAACAGGTACCAACAATGACAAACAGCCTTCAGAATTCTCTAAATCTTTTTACAGTCCTTTTGGTTTCTTTCTTTTTTCCGACAGGGAGGAGTCCTCTAGGGCACAAGATACCTCCTGAGCACATATTCTTTCTCACCCACGGCTAGGGCCCCTGCAGAGAGAGACGCCAGGCCCAGCAGCAGCATGAGGGCCGCCCCGGGGGAGCTGGCATGGGACGCACAGCTTCCTTCCACTCCATCCTGGCCCAGGGTTTCTCAGTGAGCAGATGGCTTGGGAGGCAGCATCGTCACAAACAATTTTCCCCTCCACCAACTCTGAGAGAGGAGACAATGCCTTCTCTCCCCACCAGCACTGGCACTTTCTGGGCCCGCCCGGAAAGTGAGCATCTCCCTGTCCTCAGTGGCATCGTGCCTCCTGGGCCCTCTAGCAGGTGATTTGGGCCAGGGTGAGGCTAAGTGGCCATCCTGCCTGGCACCGTGTGGGTCAGCACTGAGGGCCCCGAGGAGCACCTCACCAGGCACCACAGGCAAGTCTTGCCTCCCTGGCCCAATGCTCCTGCCTGCAGGGCCTGGCTGACATCAATCATCTGCCCAGGGAGGGCACCAAGGCACCATCTGGTGCCATTAATGGGCCATTCAGCAGTGGGAGCCTGGCAGAGGGGCTGAGGCTGGCCTGATTGTTTTCTCTCGGCATTTTGGAACTTGCTATTGTCTGGCTGCTAATGAACTTTTCTGCAATTAGAAAACCAAAGAGAGGGAGGGTCAAGCATATCTGAGTGCTTGCCGGGCCTGTAGCCTGCCAATGAGTCTGCCTGCAAACAGAATGGGGGGGGGAAGAGGGCCAGGGCTGTGGTGGGGACATAATGGGGGTGCAGACAACACTGCGTGGGGCGAGCTGAGGCCTCTGAGGTCTCTGAGCTGCGGAGCAGGGTCAGGGTTCCAGGCCCAGGCTCCTGACGGTGGAGGCGCTGGCCCCGCAGACAGCAGACTGCAGTTTCTCCTGCAGGGGGCTCCTCAGAAAGAACATGTTAGCCACTGTGAAAGGTGGGCAGCCCCTCTGGGCAAGAAGGAAGGATGAGCACAGGGAGGGAGGAGAGGGGACACCAGGAGACAGGATACTCACACGGGGACTCGGGAGACAGAGCCGTTCCGGAACAGCAAATAGCAAGAGGGGAAGTCAGTGACACCAAACTTTCTCACCACATCGGCTTCTGTGTTCAGCACCCTGCGCACTGCCATGCCTTTGTGCTGGGACAGGTCCAGAGCCACCTGCAGGGACAGCAGGACATCTGGGGGCCAGGCCACTGGGTGGAGGGAGCCAGGGCTGAGTCTCAGCTCGGTGCCCTGTGAAGGCACCCAGATGGCAGCTGTGCTCCTTCCAGACTCTAAATCTGCAAACAGTGGGCCACAGTGATGCATGAGAGACACTCACCATCAACGGCGGCTAGCCGGCAAGTAACAAGTGCCAACCACTGCCCACGAGGGGAGGCCTTGGAGCTGTGCACAGCACACACGCTTTAATCTCCCACCACAGTCCCAACTGGGTAGCATTTTCCTTCTAATGAAAGCAATTTGTAAAAAGCACAATAAAATGTGGTTTCATTTTAATTCTTGTTTGTTTTTTGTACTGAGCCAGCACGTTCTTGTCCTTAAGACCTTCACACCCCAAGATCTGACTGCTCTCTGATGTCCAGGATTCCCCAGGGCCTTCTCATAACATTTTTCTAAAAGGAAAATATCCCTTTAGAAATTACTAATCATTGTTTGTTTGAAATATCAATTGGTGGGGGCAAGAGCAGTCTTCCTCATGGGAGCCTGAGTCACAGATGTTTAAAGAACTGTGATTTTATTGTGTCCAAATACATATGGTAACAAACTTCATGGTTAGGATACAAACAAAATAAACCTTTGGAACTGGGCAAATTTCTAAACAGCAGGCTAACTCTGAGCCCAGTATGTGCAGCAGTCAGAGGGGCCCTTTGGTCAATGTGTATAGTTATAAGATCTGAAAACGCTTCTTAACGTGGGGCTCTCTGAAGGCAACAAGAGGCCTTGTTGAGAATGACAATGTCTCCACATTAGAAATGGGAAGAGAAGTTCTGAGCATAATCAGACAGGCCAACTGCAAATGGCAGGCACGAGCTTCTATTACTGACCTCTCACGCCTCACATGGCCCCCTAGCCTTTATTCTTATATTTATAACGCTTTCTATCTAGACTCCAAATTAGAAAAATACACTTCTCAGTCATCATTATTTTTTTTAGAAAGAAATAAGAGAAAGCACTAGCTAACACATATTGTGTAGGTATCATGTAGTATCCACACGGATCGCCTCATTTATCTTCAGAGAAACACTGAAATAGCAGCTATTCTCAGGAGACTAAGAGATGCGGCGCCGTACGCTACAGTCGCCTGCATTGGAATCCTGGCGCCACTGCACCGAAACACTCCCTGACCCAATTTCCGTACTTGCAAAATAATAACAACAACAATAATAATACCACCAACTTCAGGGGGGCTGTTCTGAGAACGGAAGGGGTTAACTTTACTAAAATGCTATAACAGTGACTAGTACATAGTAGGTACGTTAAGTGTTTACTTAAAAATAAAGCTCCCAGGCCGGGCTTGGTGGCTCACGCCTGTAATCCCAGCACTTTGGGAGGCTGAGGCGGGTAGATCACGAGGTCAGGAGATCAAGACCATCCTCACCAACACAGTGAAACCCCATCTCTACTAAAAATACAAAACAATTAGCCTGGCGTGGTGGTGGACGCTTGTAGTCCCAGCTACTTGGGAGGCTGAGGCAGGAGAATGGCACGAACCCAGGAGGTAGAGCTTGCAGTGAGCCGAGATCACGCCACTGCACTCCAGCCTGGGCGACAGAGCGAGACTCCATCTCAAAATAATAAAAAAAAGCTCTAGTTGGGCTCAGTGGCTCACATCTGTAATCCCAGCACTTTGGGAGGCCGAGGTGGGCAGATGACCTGAGGTCAGGAGTTTGAGAACCAGTCTGACCAAAATGGTGAAACCCTGTCTCTACTGAAAATACAAAATTAGCAAGGCATGGTGGAACATGCCTATAATCCCAGTTACTTGGGAGGCTGAGGAAGGAAAAACGCTTGAACCTGGGAGGTGGAGGTTGCAGTGAGCCAAGACAGTGCCATTGCATTCTAGCCTGGGCAACAAGTGAAACTTCATCTCAAAAAAATCAAAATAAATAAATAAAGCTCCTATCTTGTAGCTGCAGAAACGGAGGCTTAGAAGTGAAACCATGCCTCCAGCTCACACAGCTTGCCTATGTCTGAACTGTGCTACAAATCCCAGCTTAGTGTGGCTCCAGAACCTGGGCCCTTAGTCACTGGTCCCATGCTGAGCACCCCTGTGTGGACATGGGGCACTTGGCTCCAACCACTGGGACCCCTGCCTGTAGGTACTCAAGGGACTGTGGTGGGAGGGGAGGGAGAAGACCTGATTCCAATCACAATTTATCACCTCTACGTAACATGTATGACCCCAGGCATGAACTGGGACCCTAGAGGGACAGGCACTCCTTCAGCCAAGCTGTCTTTCCCCTCCACAACCCCTGTGCCTCCCCTCTCAGGGCTGAGAGGCCTGGAGACAGCATCTGGCTTCCGCTCAGACTCTCAGCTGTGCTTGATAAGTTTCAGCAGCAAAATCACTCAGGCCGACAGGGCAGTTTAATTTCCTGCCTACTCTCATGCCTGTTTCCCTGCACTGCCTTGGAGCATCTCCCGTGTACTGGCACATCCCACCTTTGCAGCTGGGAAAAGCTCACAAGTAGACTATGGAGAAATCCATGAACCAATGGCAGAATGGTGAGCTCTCTGCGTTAGGCGAGGGGAATGGATCTTTATAAAGCACCTACTATGTGTCAGCTGCAATCCAGGCCCTTTACATAAACTGCTGCATTTGACTCTCCCAACAATACTATGAAGAAACGTCATCATCCCCGCTCTCTAGACAGGGCACTGCAGGAAGCGCCAGGGAGATGGCTCACAGACACCCCACATGAGACAGAGCAGCACCTGGGTGAAGGACCCCATTTCCTCTGGTGGCACTAGTGCATCGCTAATGCTCCCTCCCTCCCAAATATTTCACTCTAATCCCATGGGGTGGGACATTGTGGAAACAACATTGGCTTTGGAGCCAGAAGGACCTGGTTCAAAGCCGCCTTCTACCAACTTACTAGCTGTGTGATCTTGGGCATTCTATTTGATCACCTTCATTAATTTTGGGGATTAGCAGCTACGTGTGTCAGCAATCTGGTCCAATGCTCAATAACAGCAGGTGTTACATTTGGTTTCCATGAAGGAGATAAGAATAAACAGAAAGGTTTTTAAATGTGAAGGTCCAGCCCCTGCACTTCCCATGGCTCCCAGCAGGGGTCAGGCCAATGCCAGGCTAAAAGACCCAGGCAGCCAACACCCTAGAATTGGCAGGAAAAGCCCTTTTCCCAAACTGGGGCTCTCTCTCCATGGCTATCCAGGTATTGCAGGGAACTTCAGGGCAGCTCACCTCTCTACCCAGGTAGGAGCCTCCCTTTTCAAAGATCAGGGCCAGGTACTCTTCCTTGTTTCTCGCAAAGAATCCATCAATCTCCTCCAGCCTGCAAGAGACAACTCTGGCAGTCACTCTGCACAGCCAGCAGAAATAAGACAAAACCGCTGGCAACGCCTGCTGGTGATGCAGTGCTGCTGGTACGGCCATCCCACCCTCCTCCGCTTCCACACAGGGCCCTCCAAGGAAGTCAACCAAACCTTTAGTCCTAAAAGATGTTGCCCTTGTTATCTAACCCTGGCTCTTCATCTGACCTACCTTGGGTGCTTGGTTTTGTTTTTGCTTCCTGTCTGTTTTAAGAGTCAGGAGTGGGCCGGGTGCGGGGGCTCACACCTGTAATCCCAACACTTTGGGAGGCTGAGGCGGGCGGATCACCTGAGGTCTAGAGTTAGAGACCAGTCTGGCCAACATGGTGCAACCCCGTCTCTACTAAAAATACAAAAATTAGCCAGGTGTGGTGGCGGGCACCTGTAATCCCAGCTACTCGGGAGGCTGAGGCAGGAGAATCACTTGAACCCTGGGGGTGGAGGTTGCAGTGAGCTGAGATCGTACCACTGCACTCCAGCCTGGGCTACAAGAGCAAAACTCCTTCTCAAAAAAAAAAAAAAAAAAAAAAAAAAGTCAGGAGTGGGTAGGAGGCCCTGTGGGGAGGGGGACTGGGAAGGGCTGCTTTGAGCCAGTTGTCTCCATGTGCTGGGGCAGGCCCAGGCTGACTGGATGTGGTTTTTATTGGTCCCCTGACAGCTGGGGGTATTAGAACCCAACAGCTGTAAGTCTAAACTGTGACAAGTCACGACCAAGTGGGAGATGTGCTCTTTTGATCCTAAAGCAGGCATTAAAAAGGAATGAAAGAATCAGAAAGCCTTGGGTTCAGGAGACCTTAGGAGCCATCTATATATCTAACCCAATCTCCTTATTTTAAGATGAGGAAACTGAGGCCCAGTTTCCAAAACAAAACAAATGAAAACATGGCACTGATGCTGGAGCCCAGCCAGTGACAGTCCAAATGGATATGACAGACAGGTGATCACCTGAGTGCACCCCACTAGGGTGGAGGGAAGGAGGCACTGAGCCTTTAGGGTGGCATCAGGTAGCCAGCCTTTCAGACCACTTCCCTAAGCTGGCAGAAGAGCACAACCTTCATGCGGGCCAGTACCCCTTTCCCCACTCCCACCCTCAGATTTCTGAAAGGGGCAGCTCACCTTTCATCACACATCTCTGCCTCCTTCCTAAAGTTCTTTAAAAGGATAGCTTTGGGCTGGGTGCGGTGGCTCACGCCTGTAATCCTAGTACTTTGGGAGGCCCAGGCAGGAGGATTGCCTGAGCTCAGGAGTTTGAGACCACCCTGGGCAACATGGTGAAACCCCATCTCTACTAAAAATACAAAAAATTAGCCAGGCTTGGTGGCAGGCACCTGTAGTCCCAGCTACTTGGGAGGCTGAGGCAGCAGAATCGCTTGAACCCAGGAGGTGGAGGTTGCAGCGAGCTGAGATCACGCCACTGCACTCCTGGCCTGGGCGACAGAGCGAGATTCTGTCTTCAAAAAAAAAAAGGATCACTTTGAGAGACCTTAGTAGGTTTGCTTGATCTGTTGCTTTTGAGATACCCCATTGAAAATGTGCCATGAGGGATGTACATGTGTGTGGAAGGAGGGAGATGGAAACACAGTCATTGAGAAATGGAAGAAGCAAGGGCCAGGACACAGGCTGACATGGGTGTTTTCTGGAGAGACAGGGTCTGGCTGCAGAATCCCAAACCACATAAAGACTATGCTGCATCCAGGGTCCCCCGAAGGCCCTCTGGAGGATGGAAAATTGGGAAAGATGACAAAGGAGTCATTGTGAGTTGGATTCAACCCCAACTGACACTTGGAAACACAATCTCTCAGCAGGGCCATGGCTCTGAGAGCACCTGCACACAAAATTTTAAGAGAGCCTCTGCGCACCAACAGTGGCCTTGTGAGGCCTTCTTAGCACCTGGGGCCTCCACTGTGTTCAAGACTGGGCATGGATTTGTTCCTTCTTGGCAAGAGTCCTCTGAGGTGTGCATTATCCTATCTTGAGTTCTGATCCAGAAGTGGGGGGCCTAGTGTTTTTAACCTAGCTGCCTCCTTCTTTGGGAGAGTATGGGCAAGACCCCATGCACCTTACTGTCTTCATTTTCCTGGAAAAGAGGCAAGCTGGGAAGCTTGCCTGGTCGACAGATACAGAGCACCAGCCACTGCACCTGACGCTCTGCCGTACAGTCAGGGGCCACCCCCATGCTCCAGGCATAACCACCTTCTCTCCACCTCCCCTCCATTTCCCTCAAAATATTTGATCTCCTTTTTCCTCCTCATGCCATTCTGACTCTCAGTGGCCTTTCCGGGGATAGAGCATGTGAAAATCTCCTGCGTCCGCCAAACATTTTGAGGGCAGGAGGCAAGAAACAACAGCAGGTACAACCTGGAGAAACCCCACCCATCTTTTCCTTCCCACCTGTGGGATGGATCCTTGCACCCATCAGTCAGCCCCAGGACAACAGGGCTCTTCAGTAGGACCTGCGCGGTAGGAAGCCCACCACCAGCCATCAGCTGCCACTTGGTTCTGGAGTAGCTCCAGCAGACTGGGGTGTGAGCCCCACAGGCAAAGGCAGCAAAGAGAATAAACTGGGGTCCCCGCCCTGCTATTCCCACCACCCTCTCACTCCTAGGCCTGGGATCCTGGCCCACTATGCACTAAACCTGCCCCAGCCCAAAGTACTTGGCAGGCTCCAGTGGTGGACAGGCTGGGGGCCACGTGTCATGATGGGACTCCAGGGCGTCAATGAGCCTCTCCCGCAGCGTCTGCACGTCAGCACCAGCCACTATAAATGAAAACAGGCGTGAGCGGGGTGTCAGGAGAGCAGAGCTGCTTTCACAGCACACTTGCCACCTTCACTCTCAGAAACAAAGGGCTGAGGGCACAGCCAGCTCTGACAGAGACAGACGAGGCATCAGTCCTTCCCTGTGCTAGAAGAATGGGGCTTGAGGGGTCCTCCTGTGGCCCCAAGCAATGCAAGGACACCCATCGCTCAGACAGGAAAGAATCTCTCAGAACTGGGAGCCATCAAGACATTCCCCAAGGGCTCTGGTCTGGTCTCTGGGTACCAACCCCAATGTGAGAGGAGAGCTCTTCTGGGAATATGGTGCCCTTGCCCCGACCCTAGGGCCCTGGATACATCCAACCTGAAGGGCTTCTTCAACCTGCCTTTCCCTAAGGCTGACTGAGAGAACAGTTGTAGGAAGACACAAGTTAGACTTCCCGTGGGGAGCACCTCACCCTCGACCCTGCCGACTGCCAGGGCTTTCTCCACCCCAATAGAAACCCAGGCGAAGAGGGAGGTTGGGGGAGGAAGATGCTAACAGGACAACCAGAGTTGGGCACCCACCTGGAAATACTGCTCCCGAGCCGTTCTTGGAAAAGGCCTTGAAGAACTAGAAGCAAACACACAGGCGGGCATCAGTGATAGATAGTGGCCAAGAATGCAGCCACTTACTGCTCTGAAAATCTGCCTACTTATTCAATGCGGTAGTTGGGCAAATCACTTAATGTTGTTGAGACTATCTCTTTTTTTTTTTTTTTTGGTGACAGAGTCTTACTCAGGCTGGAGTGCAGTGGCATGATCTTGGCTGACTGCAACCTCCGCCTCCCGGGTTCAAGGGATTCTCCTGCCTCAGCTTCCCAAGTAGCTGGGACCACAGGTGCCCGCCACCACGCCTAATTTTTTTTTTGTATTTTTAGTAGAGATGGGGTTCACCATACTGGCAAGGCTGATCTCGAACTCCTGACCTCAACCTCCCAAAGTGCTGGGATTACAGGCATGAGCCACTGTGCCCAGCCGAGCCTGTTTCTTCATCTGTAAAATGGTGAGTTGGGGGGAGGTTGCTCTAGGAGCTGGACACTGGCTCCCTCCCGTTACCCTCCCATCCACCCCTCGGAAGCATCCAGGGATCCTGTGGGCAGCAGCTCATACACTTTTCTCCACGAGGGCCATTTCTGGCCAAACGTGGTGACAAGCACCTGTATCCCAGCTACTCAGGAGGCTGAGGCAGCACAGTACCTAGCATGTAATTATTGACAAATACTTACCACATGGATGAGTGATGAAGTACCATTGCTGTTTTCCTTTGCAGACCCATCTTAAAATATGAAGTGCAGGCACTTCCTACATCCCTTGGGAAATGTCAGCTTGCTTCTATGTCAATGTGCCCTTGCTCCTTACTTGGGAAAAGGGGCTTAGAGGCTGGTGTGTCTGTCCACTGAGAAGTCCCAGCCCAACACAGCAGACACAATCAAGGAAGGGATCTCCAGAACAGATCCTCTTGAAGGGAGAGCCTGAGTCCCTGGAAAACATGCCTTGCTACAGACTAGCTGATTTAACACATCACTTTGTCCTCTTTTCCCACGTACATGACACTCCAGGCCTAGTCTGTCACCTCCTTGGGGCATGAGGACAGAGAGAACAGAGCCTGACTCCTGGCAATCTGGGCTTCTGCCCAGGTGGCAACACAGCTGCCAAGGCTTTTGCCTGCACTCTTCCGATTCAGGAGGGAACACAGTTGAGTTGTCCTGGAAGCCGGCCACTGAACTGCCTAGGGGAGAGCCTGCAGGCTGGGAAGAGGCTTCTTCCTATGGGACCCTAGCCTCAGGGCCACTTTTCACTACCTTGGGCTTCTGCCTCCAACAGCCAAACACTGGTTTCCTTCTCCCTCCTTGGGATAGAGCTGTTTGGCCTTATCCTAAGCTGGTGGCTGAGAACAGGCCCTGGGCTCCGGCAGACCTGGTTCAAGGACTGGTTCTGCTTTTCTCTTGCTGTGTGACCTTAGGCAATGCATCAACTGCTCCGAACCTTCGCATTCTCATCTTTGAAATGAGGATGACGCCATCTACCTTGAAGACTTGTGAGGATTCCATGACCACATACCTAAAATGCTTAGCACGGTACCTGGTGCACACCACAAGGAACCGGTAAACGTTAACGGCATCATCATCACCCACCATCAGCATCCCCTTCCCTCCTTCATACCTTTTAAACACTAGGAACCATGATCAGCTAGGACTTGTCTGTTACAGCCATTTGTAGGCAGAAAATCTGGAAGCCACCTGCTACCCTCTCCCACATGAGGAACAAAGGCTGCAGAGGAGCCACCTGTCTCTCCCCACCTGCAACCTTCTGCTCCCTGTGACCTCCCCTGGCCCCTTACTCCTGCTCACTGCTTTACTCTCTCTTTTCAAAACATTAATACAAACTTTTATCGTGGATGAAAACCATCCACTTATACATACCACACATATTTAAATAGTGTTCTTTACAGTTATTTAATTTTATTTGCCTAATACAATTGTTATTCTAATACTTATGAAAATGATCATAAATTTCCTTGATTATGAGATATTGATAATGTAAGTTACAGTATTTATGGACTGATACTTTTTCATAAACAAAATTGAGGATACATCTATTTGAGGTTTGGTTTGCCGACAAATAATAAACCAGGTCAGGTGCAGCGGCTCACACCTGTATTCCCAGCACTTTGGGAGACCTAGGAGGGAGGATCACTTGAACCCTGGAGTTCAAGACCACCCTAGGCAACACAGTGAGCCCCCATCTCTACAAAAAGTTAAAAATTAAAAATAAGCCGGGCACGGTGGCTCAAGCCTGTAATCCCAGCACTTTGGGAGGCCGAGACGGGTGGATCATGAGGTCAGGAGATCGAGACCATCCTGGCTAACACAGTAAAACCCCGTCTCCACTAACAAATACAAAACAAACAAACAAACAAAAAACTAGCTGGGTGAGGTGGTGGGCGCCTGTAGTCCCAGCTACTTGGGAGACTGAGGCAGGAGAATGGCATAAACCGGGGAGGCGGAGCTTGCGCACTCCAGCCTGGGCGACAGAGCGAGACTCCATCTCAAAAAAAAATTTAAAAAAATAAAATAAAATAAAATAAAAAAGAAACCCGAGGGAGATGTTGTGCTGCAGTTATTCATAATGATGGTGCTCTTGTTTATTTACAGACAGGTTACACTTTGACTAGCTTCTACACACGAGAACAACACTGACATCATGAAGCCTTGAACTGGGTGGCTTTCCCACAGCTACAGCTGTTATTTTCACCTCTGAAAAGTAATATGGTCATTTTTTGTCATCAACCATCAGGTCACCCACATCTGAGCAGGTACCCACATTAAAAGGGCCTTGCATTACTTCCACCAAAAGGCAGCCTCTCCAGGCTGGGTGTGGGGGCTCACACCTGTAACCCCAGCACTTTGGGAGGCCGAGGTGGGTGGATCACTTGAGGTCAGGAGTTTGAGACCAGCCTGGCCAACATGGTAAAACCCTGTCTCTACTAAAAATACAAAAATTAGCCAAATGGGGTGACGTGCACCTGTATCCCAGCTACTCAGGAGGCTGAGGCAGGAGAATTGCTTGAACCTGGGAGGTGGAGGTTACGGTGAGCCAAGATCACGCCACTGCACTCCAGCCTGGGTGACAGAGAGAGACTCTGTCTCAAAAAATTAAAAAATTTTAAAAAGGCAACCTCTCAAGATCCCAGCAACTACATGCAGCTTGGAGTCTGACCAGGAAGCTCGGTCAGCCAGAGTGGCCCAGCGGGGTGCAGGGACCCCAAGAGCCTCTCCCCAGGACACAGGCTGAAGGGAAGGCCCTGCTGCACCTCAGCTGTTCCCTCTGTCCTCGGAAGCTTCGCACCCACCTCCCAGGCCAATGTCTCCTCCAAGCTCTGGCTCCCACGCCTCACACTCCTCAGGAACTTCTTCCTAGCCACCTCACATCATTCCTCTTTTCTACCACAGCCCCCCCAAGGCCTACAAAGAGATTAGAATCCTTCTAGTCTAAACCTTAAAAAAGGAAAGGATGGGAAGGGAAGGAGGATGGGGATGAAGAAAGGCCCTCCCTCCTTCTCCAGCAACCGCATTTCCTTCCCGTGTCCCCATGCTGCCAACGTTCCTGGAACAGTGTCTGCCCTTGCTCCTTGGACTGCTCTCTCGCTATCCCCACAACCCTCAGCTGAAGCCGTTCTAAGGAAGCTCTGTGGTGACTTTCTCTTCAGCCACTGCAGTGATCTCTCCCCACCCTCCCGGCCTCTCTGTGGTAGTGTTATTACTGCCTGCTTTGTCCTCCCATGGCGAGCATTCGTCATCTTTTGTGCCACATTTCGTGGTTGCTCTCCCTCATTGCCTTCATGTTATCACCCTTCCCTGGTTGGCTTGACACTGACCAGCCCTACTTGGCCACCCTTGCCCTGGTCCTAGCTTCACTTTCGACTGCTCTCCTGTGCCCACTGCCCACCCCCATCTCCTACCCCAGTCTCTCCTACAGCCACACGTCAGGTCCTGACACTCTTCTATTTAAAAAGCTGTTGAAAGCAGTGTCACAAAGAAGTTGCTCAATCTTGTTTCTAAATGAATGAGTGGATAAAGGGATCAATGAACAAACCTATCATTTCTCCCTTGCCAAAGCCAATGACTTTGTTTGTCCAAATGATTTGCCAGCTAAACCCTCTGCATCTCAGTGCTCCCCTGTCCTAGACTCCTGGTTCTTTCTGGTGGCCTCCACCCAGATGTCAGGATGCATCCCCTTCCCCACCATCCCCAAGACTGAGTCACCCCTCTCCCAACCTGCTTTGCCACCTGTGTTTACCTCACCCAGCGACCGGTCCTCCTCCCTGCCACCCACACCATCCCCCTCTTCAAAAACCTGTCATCCAGTTAGCTGACAAGTTCTGTGAATTTGACCTCCGTGTTACCTCTTCAAAAGTCCTCTCCTCCACCTGCCTTGTCTAGACCAGGCCTGACAGACGATGATGTATTTTTGGGTCACCACATCAGTCTCCACCTTTAATGCTCTCAGAAGTTTTAGTATACTCAATCTTTTCATTCTCCAGCCATCTTCCTCACTGCTACTAAGGTTAGTTTTCTAACGCACAGTTCTGGTCTGAACATTTTGCTCCTCCTCAAATTTCTTCCATGACTCCCCACTGTCAATGAATAATGTCCAAACTCACTGCATTCAAGGCCGTCCAGACTCCAAACTCAAACTAACCTCACACTGCCCTCCATTCCCACCACTCCAGCTGCAATGAACTTCAACCTGAATCCACTACCCACCCATGCACCCACCTTTGACCAGGAGGCAGGATGACATTTTATTTATCTCTGCAAGCTCCACAGTGTCTGGCATCTCTCAATAGACATCTGTTCAGCTGAACAGAGAATCTCTGCCCTTTGATCACCCTGGAAGCTCATGTGGAAATCAAGTCAGGGCACATTTTTGTCCTCTGATGAAAATGTATCCTTATTAAGTCAACCATGGAGGTGTGTGCCCTGCCCAAGGGAAACCACCACAGCTCCCTGGAAGCAGACAATTAAGACTTCGGGAGTGTGTTTCTTTTCTCAGGAGCAGTCATCACCCATCCCTTTTCTTTCATCACTTTACACAGGAGCTTCTGGAAGACCTCCAGCCGCTCCCTAATGGCAGAAAACCAGGCAACACCCGGCTGGTCTTCACGAAACTACGGAGTGACTGCTTTCTTGGGGTCAAAAGAGCTCAAGAGAAAGCACACTTCCCAGGGGTGACACCGATGGCATTCAATTCCAGCTTTTATAACATGTTTTAAGGAAAATGGTCTAGCCTCCAGATATTTATGGTAAGCCCATGAGGATCCACCTTAACCACTTCCAACACTGTGGATGATCCTTGGAGAAGACCCCAAAAACAGCACCTGACTGCTGAGAAAGGGGCCCACTTCCTTTTTCCAGAGAGAGACAGGAGACATCCTGGAGTCCTGCCTTCCTCCCCGACATCTCACCTTCTAGCAAAAGCCACAAAAGGTAACAGCCCAGATTCTGTACAGGGCATCCCCCCTCCCAAACCTGCATTCAAGGACCTGCCATTTCTGGGCTCCCTCCTCCCCCAGCTCTGCCTGATCCCTCAACATGAGCCTCTGCCCAGCTGGACAAGTCTCCTCAACACGCCACCTCACCCTGCCCACACAGGGCCTTGGCTCTCACCTTCTTGCCTGTGAGGCCCACCTACACTCCTCTCTCCTAGCCAAACCCCAATACCAAGTTGAAGTCCCCTCCTACACGAACTGCTTTCTGACGAGTGAAAGAGCTCCGTGAGCCCAGCAAACTCCTGTGGCATTCCCTGGGAACCTGTTGCTGGCTGCCTCTCACTGGCCATGGGCTCTGGGGATCTCACGCTCCTGGCCTCGCCTGCAGTGGTGAGTGCAGTGCTGGGCACCCAGCAAGCATGCCCGCAGCGGCTGCTGACAGACAGATGGACTGCCACACAGTCCAGCAGCGGCCACAGAGCAGCCACCAGCAGCCCCATGGGTGGCCCAGGAGGGAGATGGGACAACACGAAGGAAGCAAACTTTTACTGAAGTCCAAATCACACCAGCGTGGTGTGGTGGCACTTTCATATGGAAGACCTCACTTCACACTTGGCAACGGTCCTCTTAGGTGGATGTTATCACCCCATGTTTACAGACAAGGAAACTGGGGTCCACGGCTGGGGCACTGATAAGTGACTTTCCAAGCCACATACAGTAAGCAGTGAGGCCAGGATTTGAAACATCACTGATCTCCTCAGAGCCTTGAAGAGGCAAGATCCGCCCTTCCCCACCCCTATGCTGCTGTGCTGTGTACCCTTTGTTCCGGCCAGGCCTCCGGCCATCAAAAGTCCCATTCTATACCCACTGAAGGGCACTCCTAAGGCCCAAGGAGAAGTCCCTTGACTCGGAAGTTCCAGCCTCTAGGTCACCAAGCTCCAGTCAGAACCTGCAGCCAACCAGCCCCTCCCTCTCGCACACCTTTGTTTCCTTCCAGTTGGACTCTGGCTCCAGCCTGATGGGGACCTGACACAGCCAGCCTGCCCTTCAGGCCCAGGTGTTTACTAAACAGGCTGGGCTGGTAGAAGCTCACTGTTTGCTCATGTTGGCAAGTGGCCGGAGGCAGGTCACACATGCCACTGGGGGAGGCCAGACTCGTGTGTGTGGGCCTGTCCCCATACCAAAAGCACTCTCTCCTCCCCCTGCTTCACACGGGCCCTCACCTTTCAGCTCTTCATGGGCAGAGTGCAAGGACAGGCTCCAGCCCCCAGGGGGCAGCAGGCAGGGCAACAGGGCTATGTCTTTGCCCACCAGCGGTCCCCAGGGCAGCTCTGCTACCTAAGGATCTGGCCACGATGCCCAAGGGCACCCAGGCTCTTCAAGGACCCGAATCTCTGGAGATTGGAATCTGTTTGAGTAGTGTTTTCCAAACACTAGAAACAACCTTGTAATGAGCTGTCAAATCAATGTATTTAATCACAGCCGTATTAAAAAAAATAGAACAGAAAATATCACAGTTTAACTGCACTCAGGAAGAATTCATCTGAAACTTGTGTTCTAGTGATAATAGACACATACCAACTTTGGGATCACAATGTAAAAATGTGTACTGCTTACAGTTGGTCACAGTAAGAAACTATTTGAGAGCTGCTGCATAGGACCTCAGAGCAGGGACCTGCCAGCTCAAGCCATTTGGCCTACGGACTGGGCACTGAGTCCCCCCTGGCCAAAACTGAGCTGCAGGTTCCTCAGGAGAGGCAGGAAAGGCTGTGCCGGGTGAGGCTACCGTGTTGGTCTGTGGACAGATGACTACCAGACTGGCCCTGCCAGGTGCTGCCCGTCTGGAGACAGGGGAGGGCTGAGGAGCGCAGCGAGGGCCCTCCCAGCGCCCCTCCCATAGCCAGCCAGGCAGTTCAGGAGATGGTGACTCTCACCTGAGGCATCCAGGCTGCGTGCGCTGCGTGACATGGGGTGGCGCTGAGGAGCCTCTGACCTGCTGAGCCTGGGCCACCTCCTTCATCCCTGCTGTGCCCAGCTTCTTCCAGGCAGAGTCAGAAAGCCCAGGTATCAGGCCCTGGCTGTCAATTGGTCATCCTGCCCCGGCTGCTGTACCAGTGTCAACCCTTCCCCTGGGGGCTGGGCAGTGGCTGTACCCCTGTGCCCCACGCTCACTGTGAGAAAAACATCAGCCTGTGAATGATGGTTCCTGCTGCCACACTAATTTGCCCACAGCTTCCCACTGAGGGCTGCTCACCTGGTTCAGCCAAAGGAACAGAGTGCCCTGTTTGAATATTTTCAATTATAAACCTTAGGGCCAAGGATAGCGCCATGTCCCTGCCGGGAAGGCCTTTTATTTCAAAGGGATGATTGGCATGCACTCTCTCTGCTGCCACTTTTCAATGATGTGGCAGTAGCTGTTGGTTCACCACACTGTCTGGAGACCAACCCGGTCTCAGCTAAACCCGGGACCTGGGGGGCCCTGACCCTATGTGGTAACAGTTTAGGAAGGGACTTCTATTAGGTGTGGAAATCCTCAGTCCAGGGGGCGTTGCACTGGGCTTGAGGAACAGAAAGGTCACATGGAGTTAGAGCTGGACGTTCCTGGTGGAGCCACAGCCTTACTTCCCGGATGGATGCTGCTGGGGTAATTAAGCTGTGTTCTGGCTCACAGTTCTGTTTGAAACTTGGCCACCCCCACCCCCAGCTCAGAGGTATCTTGTTCCAGGGACAATCCTTGGCATTTCAGCTTTCAAAGGCATTTCCTAATTATTCTTAATGGCTACAGAGGAAACTGCTTTTCTAGATGCCATTCTGGTGGAAGGGTACATATTATTTATAGCTGGTGATACAGAGACAGAGATTTGAATTTGGCTTCTCTAATCTGGAAGAAAACTAATTGGATTAGAGCCAGGCCTCAGCCTAGGGGAGGGCCCTCACCATAACTGCAGCAGCCTTGCTGCCCTGGACTATCCAAGGCCTCCTATTTGAAAGCCTTGGAAGCTGTTCAGACATTAATTAAGCTGTTGATGCCCTGCGGTGGGCAGGCTGGCAGGTAAGGCATCATCAGAGATCTCGTGCCACTTTCCACCAGAGCTGGGGTGACAGAGCCCTCATGCCTTGGGTATGATAATTCCCGTGCTGGGGATCCCTGCTGCCTGAGGCACTGACATTCTGACAGTGGGGTGAAGCTATCCTGACAGGTCCCTTCTCAGCTACCTGTGGTTCAAGGCATTTGCCTGAGGAGGCTGAGGCTTGCCAGAGTGTCTGGGGTCCCTTTGTGGGGAACCACTAGGCTCCTAGAGTCTGACCCTGCCCACAGATGGGTCAGAGCCTGAATCCTGGTTTTATAGAGTTAGATCAGACCTCCAAGGCTTGGAGGTCAGGAGGGAGAGCAATTGAAGAGGACCTTGGGAGCTGGGAGCTCTCACCAGCCCAAGTGATGATCACCTCCCAGCTCAAATCAGAGCAGCCGAAATCTGCCCATCCAGACACATCCCACATGGCCCCTTTCCCTTATAAAGGGAAACAAAGCAGGCCTAGCCTGCCTTCCCCTCCTGTCAGTCACACACCCTCACAGTCGGGAAGCCAGGGATGTTGAAGTCTCTGCAGACTGCGCTGTTGGTCTCCTCAGCACAGTCCAGGGCGGCGAGATTCAGGGCCGGCCTCCAGGCTGAAAAGACAAAAAACCCAAGGGTAAATAAGAGGGGCTGGCACCCCCTCTGCCCACCCATCTCCCCCAGTGCAATGCCTCACCCCTGCCAACCCCACAGCACCTGATCCCAAAGCTCTTATGACAAAGGTCACACCTTCCTTGGAAAAGGACCTCTGAGATATTCCAGCTGGTCTGCATTACGCTAGCATCTCACAAAACGGAACCTGTGTTTTGGATGATTAGCATAAGTAACACTGCCTCACAATGGTATCTGTTTCCCCATTACTACTATGTGAGGTCAGGGATAGGGGATGAGAGATGTTGAAGGAGTCTGTCCCGCTCCTCGCCACCCCCCACCCTCCCCCCACCCAGGGAAAAGCCCTGGTATTGCCTCTGTCCCTGGGGCCCTAAATGGGATCAGTTCAGAAGGGTGGAGAACATGCCTTAGGGGATTTGGAATTCCCCAGGGGACCCTTGGGGAAGGTTCCTGGGGCCAGAGGTACTGGTAGTGGGCAGAGCTTGAGTGACTGGGGTAAAGGGTATCAGGAACTGGGTCCCCAGCCAGAAATGAGAGCATCTAGAATCCAGGAACTGCAGGGAAAGAAGCCTTGAGGCCAGAGTCTGGCAAATTAACCTTGCCCCTGCATCAGGCCCCAGGTCACAAGGCTGCTGGCTGCTGAAACATTGGCAGAGAGAATAATGGCACCATTCTGGGCCACAGCCCAGGATCTGAGAAGAAACAAGCTCATATACCAGGCAGCTCTCCTGAGCTCAGATTCCAGGTCAGGTGCCCCATGAGCATCTACCAAAGTTCCACCTACATGGAGGCTGCTCCAGCTGGAAGCCAAGGTGCGCACAGAGGAAGTCACACAAGCCGTGAGAGGGCAGTGACAGGGGCCAAATCACGTGGCACAGAACTCTCAAGTTTGGACCCAGCCAGGAGAGGTCGGCCCTGCAGACCAAGGCATGGGCTCAGCAGGAAAGGTGGAAACAGAGCTGAACCTAGACCGTCGGTCCAGGGGGAGGGAACTTCCTGAGCAAGGTGGAGGAGGACAGGATGAGCAAAGACCATGCTGCCTGGACAGGAGGGTTTTTGGGAGGCATGGGAGCCAGAATAGAAGGGAGCAAGAAGGGGCCAGACTTGGGAGTGTTTGCCTGGACAGTTCAGGATGACCTCCATGGCAGCTGGACCCACCTGCGTCTCTGGGGCAGATGAGAGGAGAAGGAGGCCTGCCTGGTGGCAAGCGCAACTCCCATTTGAAGCTCATGCCCCACGGGCAGGGAATGGAATTTACACAGGCAGCCCACCTAGCACCCATTACGTACAGAACACTAATATCTGAAAAACACTCCTGATGGTCACAGTTTTAGCAGGACCTCTGACCCTACCTGATATGGTTTGGATCTTGTCTCCTCCAAATTTCATGTTGAAATGTGATCTCCAATGTTAGATGAGGTGAGGTACAGTGAAAGGTATTAGACCATGGGGGCAGACCCCTCATGAACAGCTCGGCACTGTGCCCTTGGTAATGAGTGAGTTCTCACTCTGACTTCTTGTAATATCCGATTGTTTAAAATAGGGTGGCACTTCCCAACCCCCTCCTGCTTCCTCTCCTGCTTTGCCTTCTGTCATGAGTAAAAGCTCCCTGAGGCCTCCCCAGAAGCTAAGCAGATGCTGTGTACAACCTCCAGAACCCTCAGCCAATTAAACCTCTTTTCTTTATAAATTACCCAGCCTCAGGTACTTATTTTTAGCAATGCAAAAACACCCTAATACTCCACCCTAGAACTTAACTCCTTACAATGTCTGAGAAGAACACAATTGCAGAAGGTATCAGAGCTCCTAAGAACACCTCATGCCTGGGGAAGGAGTGTTACCCTCACCTCCATGAGACAGATGCAGGAAAAGCCTGGCACACCCTGATGCATCCCTGGAAAGAAGGCAACTAAGTTGGCCCTTCTTGGGGCTGATACAAGGGAGGGGGCTCTGGGAGCCTGAAGGAAGGCCTGTGGCCACAACACCCCCTTCTTTCCCCACCTTTTTTGTTGGTAGTCTGCTTTTGGCATTGCAGCTTCTGGACTCCTTGGTAAGAGGGAGGTGGCTGGGGAGTTGGGGAGAGGAAGTGGATGGAGGTATTTACCAGAGTCAGACTTCAAAAGTATTTAGCAGAGTCAGGTGAGCCACATCCTAGGATGCCATTTCCCCAACTTCCTCAACACACCCCCACCACACACTTTTTGGGGAGCTTTCTTGACTCCCTTAGCACACAAGGATAGCAACCTGAGCCTATCCAAGTATCTGCAAGCTGGGGTGCATCCTTTGGCTTTAAACCTCACCTCCAAGGTAGCCTGCACAAAGGCAGGTATGGTCAGCGCCTGCTGCATGCCAGGCCCAGGATGCAATCCCTCTGCCCCTACCATGGAATTGCTGATCCCAACCTGCCTCCACATCCTGTCCACTCTACCTGTGAAATCTCTTCCCCCACCCAAACCTCCATCTCCTCATGCCTGTCCTAGGTTGGCATGAACCCATGATCTGGTTTTTTACTGACCTCACCTCCAACCTACCCTCCGTGTCCCATGAGCTAGTACAAGTTCTCACAGCAGGGCCTCCAGAGAAATATCAACATATTATTTCTCTCCTGGTGAGGTTCTAATGTGCTCCACCCCTCACTGGCCTCTCTAGCCATCAAATGATCTTTTCTTTCTGTGGATCTGAGTATGTCAATCTCTATTCAACAGTCTGTGGGGGCTCTAACTAACTTTAGAAGAAAACCTACAACCAGAAGGTGGTTCTTCATTTGGCTGCTGTCCACATATCCAGCCTCTTCTTACAGTTATTTTACATTAAATTAAGTCACAGATATTCATAAAATAACATTTCCAAGTAAATTAAAATACTGAAACATTAATTGCTGAACATAAGTTTAAAGTATATATGCTTTGGCATCTTGTTTTTGTATGGCATAGAGAATACAATCGGGTCTGTAATAAGCATGAAAAGTTGAGGAAACATGTTTCTAGAAATTATGAAATGGTGAATGTTAATGGAAGACAGTTCACAATGCTTGCTAGTTTTCATTAGAAACTAAGATTACTAAGGAGTAAAAACTAATTAATATAAGCAACTAAAACTAGAAATAATAAGGAACATAATTCCATATGCAAGGGAAGTATGGCGTGGTTTACAAAGGAAGTCATAAAATACAAGGATGTATTTTGATTAAGGGAAAAAGAGTCATTTTGTTCTAGAGTGACTGGTTATTTCACAACGAGAAAGAGGAAGAGTACAGGACAAACTAACAGATACAAGGAAGTTGTGAAGAGAAAAGAACTTCAAGTGTGGTCAAATGGGCTAACTTATAGTTTTTGTGTGTTTTTTTAATGAGCCTTAATATCAAAAGTACACTGATGAAAAATCAGAATTTGGTCCTCTCTGTTAAAACAAGGTTTTCTTGAAGTATTGATCTGTTCTTAAAAGGAAATAGTGAAAGGTTTTTCTGTACCTTGTAGGTAATTATCCTAAGAAAGAAGGATCCTTTGTTTTATCAAGATGATTCCCTGTGCTTCATGTTGTCTTTATTAGATCTTTGATCACTTAAGAAAATGGAGTCCTCCCTATAAAAGAGCTAAGATTTTTTTCTGCAACAGTGTAACATTCTATATTTTCCTTTTGAAGTCTTTTAATTTATCATTCTGGTTAGATAAATGACTGTGACTTAACAGTGACCTGTGATCCAGTTTGATCAAGTGATTTTTTTTGTTTTGCTTCTTTGTTTTTGTTTTGAGATAAAGTCTCACTATGTCATCCAGGCTGGAGTGCAGTGATGCGATCATGGCTCACTTGTCCGCCACCTCCCCGGCTCAAGTAATTCTCCATTTCAGCTGCGTAAGCAGCTGGGACCACAGGTGCACACCACCACACCTGGCTAATTTTTTAAAATTTTTCTGTAGAAATGGGGTCTCCCTATTTTGCCCAGACTGGTCTCGAACCCATAGGCTCAAGGTATCCTCCTGCCTCGGCCTCCCAAAGTGTTGAGATTATCATCATGAGCCACTATGCCCAGCCTGATTAAGTGTTTTAATTTTAAACCTTCGATATTTTGTACAAACTTCCCAAAATCAAATTCTAAATTAAGGCTTTCTGAACTTGAAGTAACTTTGAAACATTCCAGAGGGCCCTGGAACATCTCAAAGATTCTGCAAAGCAGAGATACTAAACTAGTTAGGCTCATTTGATGTATTAATTATATGCGAAGCATTGTCAAACAAGAAATGATGTTTAATCTTCTTTGAGTTATATTTATTAATGTATATTTACAATTGTTACTAATGTGTATCCCCAAAATTATATGATATGCCTAGAAATATGATGTATTATCAGCCTTAATTTCAGTTATTAGGTTAAAATGTTGTATGCACAGCAATAACCAAATTTCCTTGTCAATTGTGTCATTATTATTATGAACTCTCATCAGATTTTTACCACAAACATTTTAAGTCTTATTGTCTACAGTTAATTGCTTTATTCTGTTTTTCTAAAAGCTTTTTTCTAAGCAACTATAATCCTAAAGTGCTTCATCTTCAAGGAGATCCACGGAAAAGTCTCTGATAAGTACCATTTCTGATAACTTCGAGATAATATGATTGGACTGTCAAAGAATTTCCAGAACTCTAATGAAAAAACCGATGGGTCTGCAAAACTGATAACCAAGATCAAGCAGAACAAGAATTAATTACATGAGACTAAATGAACCAATGAAGAATTATGGGTTGTTATGGTTTTTAAATTTGAAATGTTGTTGGTTCTTTCTAATGTTTTGTTGTCCTTATTTAAGAAAACTTATTTTCTTTTAAGCTATCTATAGTTTTCAGCAAGTTGGTAAGTATACTCTTGTGAACAAAAATGGAAACATTTTCTCCCTATAAGACCTCTCTGGAATTCAGAAACTATTTGTGAATATTCTTATTTTTATGGCAATACTGTTATCTGCATAAGTTCAATAAGCATCTGCTCT